TTCCTGTATTTAAAAGGTCCTTAGACCCTAAGGACCTCCATGCTGACCCATCTTCCATAAGGCAATCTCCTTTAAAAAACAAAAACAAAAAATCCCTTCCTCCCTTTTTCTTGATCACCGAAATTAGCCAAAAATCACCAGGTAACTAAAACTTGTTTTGTAATTTCTTACAATGAAAAGAACATGAGGAAATGAAGTCATTCCTCAATTCAGAAGAGCACATTGCCTATATGATGTTATGTATGAACCAGGTAGCATTCTGTCTGCTGGAGGAAAAGTTTTCAGAGAACTCCTTTACCGTATATCTACCTTCTAAATTATGTAATAGAAACCTAACTCAGAAATAGCAGTTCTGCCATGGATTCTCACTGAGTCTTAAAAATGCATTTCCCAAACCACACTTTCTTTTGAATACTTAAAAGCAGGGAAAAGATAAATGAGTTAATTAGATATAAAATTACCCTATGTGAACTGAACTAAACTATATTAAATAATAGATCAAATGTTCAAAAGCGAGAATATATAAAATTTAACCTCAAACATAAAAACCCTGGAACTTCAACAGCCTGGAGAATATGCATGCATATTCTCTAAAATAGTAGATATAATTTGGCAAATTTTTACATGTCATGAAATTTTCTTTAGTTATTTTCATTTGGTATTAACAGTTTATCTTCTGGACAAAAGGAATGAGCTCATATCTTCAAGCAATTATTTACTAACTATACTCACCCCAATAAAGTAACTGAATATACAGTCACATTACTAATGAAATAATGCTGAAATTGAGAATTTAGCACTAAATAAAACAACACATGCACTATCAGTGCTATTAGAGAACAGTAACACCATAAAGTTCTCATGGTAAGGATTCAAGAAAAGTCCCCATGTGGATGAGGCAGAAAGAGGGGAAGAACAGCCATTATTAACCCCCTGGATTCTTTTCCCTAACAAAGGGGGACAGGCTTTGCCAGAAGGAGCACTGGCAAGTTGTCTCAGCTGAAGGAAGAGAAGGCTGCCTCTGTAGTCCTTTGCAGCCTTTCTACGGCTTCCATTGGAAAAAACGAACAAACAAACAAAATCCACAGTGAACAGGAAGAAAGACCTCAAGAAAATACACTGGGGATGCTGCAACCAGGGACAGGAATACAGTACATGGGTGAAAAGGGAAGCAATATTCGTAGACAAGGGACAGAAACCCCTGTGAAGGTTACAACCCAAGATGTAGGCCCCCTAAAAGAGTGAGGCTTCCTCGGGTAATAGAATATGCGCTATTCCCCAACTCCCTGCCACAACACCAACACAGCTCTAGGACAGTAACAGTCCATCACAGCTACAAGATGCAAGACACTGACCCTCTCTGAGGAGGAATACCTAAGGAAACCCAAAGTCAAGAGGAAGACAAAGACAAGGATACGAGAACTTGAAACTTCTTGTACCTATGGCTACAACAAACATTAAGCACTGCCCAACTCCCAGTCAGATCAACAAATATCCTCACACTAAAGGCAAATATATTTCAGTTCTTGTTACCTGATACAATGTGTCTGGATTTCAATAAAAAATTACAAAGCATGCCAAAAGGAAAAAAGAAACAGTGTAGAGAGCAAAAACAAGAATCCAAACCAAATTTAGAGGTGACAGAGAGGTTACAGTTATCAAACAAAACATTTTAAATAACTATTATTAATATGTTAAGGGCTCTGATGGAAAAAGTTGAAAACATTCTCAAATACAAAGAGAAAAAACTCCCAGACAAACAAAACAGAACATCCCAGAACTATGGGACAATATCAAAACTGTAATACCCAAAGGAGAAGAGAGAATGGGACAGAAGGAATATTTGAACTAGTAATATCTGAGAACTTTCCAAAATTAATGACAGACACCAACCCAGGAATCACAGAACACACCAAGAAAGAGAAATATCAAAGGAAAACCTATACCTAAACAAATTCATATTTAAATGGCAGAAAACTAAGATGATAAAATATTGAAGGAAGCCATAGGACAAAAACACCTTACCTGTAGAGAACCAAGAAGAGCTATATCAGAGTTCTCATCAGAAACCATACAAGAAGAAAGTGGAATGAAATCTTCAGTGTTGAAAGCGAAAAAGAGCTAACTGATAATTGTGTGTCCAATGAAATTATTCTCTAAACATGAAGGAGAAACAAAGTATTTCTCAGACAAACAAAAACTGATGGAATTCATCACCAGAAGTCCTGCCTTTTAAGAAATATTAAATGGCCCTAACCGGTTTGGCTCAGTGGATAGAGCGTCGGCCTGCGGACTGAAGTGTCCCAGGTTCGATTCCGGTCAAGGGCATGTACCCTGGTTGTGGGCACATCCCCAGTAGGAGGTGTGCAGGAGGCAGCTGATCGATGTTTCTCTCTCATCGATGTTTCTTACTCTCTATCCCTCTCCCTTCCTCTCTGTAAAAAACCAATAAAATATATTTTTTTAAAAAAGAAATATTAAATGAAGTTTTTCAGAGATAAAGATACTGATATAGGTAAAAAACTAAATCTACATAAAGAAAACAAAGGAATAGCAGAGAAGGAACAAATGAAGGTAAAATATAATCTTTTATTTTTCTTATTTTTTTCTTAATTGATCTAAAATTTTATAGCATATAATCAACAAACTGAATAACAGAAATGTCACAAAAGATGGGAAGAAGGAATTAGGAATTCTCTATTATGGGATAGCATTACACTTAACACCTTATTGTGTTATTTGAAGGTAGACTTAGATTATTTCAAAATGGATATTATAAACCTTAGGGCAACCACTAAATAAGTTTTTTTAAAAAAACAAGTATAAGTAGTACATCAAAAGAGGATATAAAATGGAATCATAAAATGTTCAATTAAAAGTAGAGAAGGCAGAAAAAGGAGGGGAGACAAAGAACAAATGCAAGGAAGTGACAACACAAAGACTGTGCAACTTAATATGAGTAAACTATTTCAAATATGAATAGTCTAAACACAGCCATTAGAAGGCAGAGATTGTGAGGTTGGATTAAAAAAACAACAAGCCCTAACCGGTTTGGCTCAGTGGATAGAGCGTCGGCCTGCGGACTGAAGGGTCCCAGGTTCGATAACAGTCAAGGGCATGTACCTCAGTTGTGGGCACATCCGAAGGGGGTGGTGTGCAGGAGGCAGCTGATCGATGTTTCTCTCTCATCATGGATGTTTCTAACTCTCTATCCCTCTCCCCTCTCTGAAAAATCAATGAAGATATATTTAAAAAAAAAAACAAGATGCAATTATATGCTCTACAAGAAACCCGCTTTAAACATAAGGAATCATATAGGTTAAAAATAAACAGATGGAGAAAGACACCCCATGTTAATCCTAATCAAAAGAAAGCTGGAGTAGCTATCTCAGTATAAGACAGTAGATTTCAGAGGGGAAAAAAAGAGGGACTTTATATAATAATAAAGGAATTAATTCCGCAAAAAGACATATTCTAAATGTGTACAAACCTAACAGACCATAAAAATACATGAGGCAAATATTGATAGAATTTTTAAAAAATTAATCTGTTGTTATAAAGATTTGAATTATAAGTACATATGTTCCAAGTCATAGAGGACATAAATCAGGGGATCCACACCATTGCTTTAGAAGTGATCTTAAAAGCAAGCAAAGGATTAATTTTAAAATATCTTGAGTTAATAAACAAACTCATAGATTCACATATATTTGTGACCCTGTAACATCCAGTATAAACTTTCATGCATATGTAATAACTCCTTTTCTGGGTCTATCTACTCTATTATACTTTGGCATATGGAGAATAAATATTTTTATCTTGCTCAGCTTGATTTTCCCAATACCTAGCAAGGTTTTTGACTTGACTAAATACCCAAGAAATATCTACTGAATCTGAATTTTACTACTAAATTAAGTTAATCAATATTTAACTGTAAAGTAAGCTATTGTTTCATTAAAAATACAAACTACCAGTTGCATTTATCTTTTAAAGTAGGAAATTTTGGTTTTACAGTCACCTTCCACTATTATCAAACTGCCAATGGGCTTAATAACACAGTTAGAAACAATTACCATGAATCACCATTGTTCACAGGGTTAAGGTGCCACATTGCTTTAGTATTAATTAACTCTTTTAATTTATTCATCTTAAATGATACACAAATTAGTTATTCAAAGTAAATGATGGATAGAATGTCAAAATAAGAGAAGTAGATCTGCAAAAGATTAAAAATAAATGTAAACATATAAACAGTGTAGAAGTATAACTCTTAATGAACTGGTGAACTTTTAAATACCAGAACTTCGTCCATTTAAATTGTGTATCAGGGCAGAGTTAAATAATTTATACCTCTAAAATAAGCAAATAAAATGCAAATAGGGAAGGAATACATTACTAGACAAATCACAGGGTCTAAAGATGAAAGACTTGGAAAAAAACATGATTTTTATTGAGCTTTTACATATGTATGATTTGAATAAGAACAGAAAAGAAAATACATTATTCACTGTAATCACTTTAAATTATGCAGTTTAGGATTCATCTCCAATTAATTTCTATCTGGCTAGGTTAAAAAAAACCCTGAAATTTCAGTTACTTCCATAAAATTTTACGTTATCTTTATGTAAAATTATTTTGCAGTGAGGAATAACTGTTTATTATAAACTGCCAACCTTCTTCAGATAACAAATTATTTCTATTTTACTATTTGGACATGCCCCTTATATACCAAACAGGTACAAATCTGATGCCCTAAAATAGGGCACATGGGGACATTTATTTACTAGATAAAATGTACTGATGTTCTTCTTCCTCTATCAAATAATTCTTTCAAAACCTTCTTTACAAATATCACTATCTGACTTATTGAAATTATATTTCACTCAACTTTTCAACCAAAGTGATTAAATAGGAAGTAAAGGACATCTCCATAGGCTTGTAAACACTTGAGGTTCACTCTGAGTCCCGCAGGGTAATGGGAAATACGATGGGCCACTTACCTGACATGCATTATAAAGGAGTTGGTGCTCCAGTTTCTTAATACCCAGAATCTGCTGAAACATTTCATAGAGCTGTTCCTTGCTCAGAATAAGTTCAGACACAGCACTGAGGGTCATCCTACTTGGCTGTTTACACAAGTCCTCTTCACCCCTGTAAATGGCATCGTATTTGGCTATCCATGAGCTCAGCACTGTCTCTTTGCTTAAGCCATCAATTTCTGGCAAACTCCGCACACGTTTCTCGATGTTCTTCTTAAACACCTCTCTGAAGTCATTCGCAGAACATCCTCCACTCTGAACCATTCTGGCCACTCGATCGCTCTTCAGAAAAACCTGGAAAAAAAATAAAGAACAAAAACCCGTTTATAACTAAGCAGAGACACTAACACACCTGCTTGTAGCAATCTAGCCAGTCTTAACACCAAACATTCCACAGTGATTCAAATGTTTTTTTTAATATATGATAATGAATGATATAATGGAGGCCCCAAATCTACTCTCTAAAATGTTGAAATATTTAGGAGAGACAGTAACCAGTGTTGAGGAACTGTAAGATGACCTTGATCTACATGCTATCCCCCCACCTGTAAATCAGAGGCCTCTCTGCTAACTGAATCCTTTAAGAGTTGATTAAGAAAGTAATTGGAGATATGACTGTACTTGGGAGTTCTGGCTAGTTTTTCAGCAGAGATAAGGTCCCCTATTGTTTGAGCGAGGATCTGAAAGCCAATAGTGCGGTAAGTCCAGTATCCAAGTCAATACGCATCATGTATAACTCAATCACGAATGCTTCACATTTGGGTGTGAGGGTACGCCCAATCCCATCCCTGATCTCACCAGTCCTCCAACTTGTCACACATTTCTTATAACTAGGAAGAATGGATGACAGAAAAGAGATGCTCATGAAATAGGTAGGAAGATATGAGCAATCTATATATATAAAAGCCTAATATGCAAAGTGTCCCCTTGGGAGTTCGACCAGGAGACCAGGAGTTCAATCCCTCAACTATGAAGTGTGCTGACCACCAGGGGGCAGCACAAAATGAAAGGAGGCCCCAGCCGGCAGCTGGAAGGCCCCGATTGGCCCCGGCCTAGGGATCCTACCTGTGCATGAATTACATCCACCGGGCCACTAGTAAGTAATAAAGTCATCCTATATAATAAAAGCCTAGGTGGCGTGATGTACGACGTCATCACAAGATGGCCGCAACAAGATAGCCACCCTCACGTCATCGTAAGATGGCCACCACAAGATGTGGGATCCTGTGGGATCAGGCCTAAACTGGCCGTCGGACATCCCCCAAGGGGTCCCAGATTGGAGAGGGTGCAGGCTGGGCTGAGGGAACCCCCGCCCCTGTGCACAAATTTTGTGTACCAGGCCTCTAGTATCATATAAGAGACATCAGGCAATCTCTCCCTTCTTCTAAGTTAAGGACCCAAATATAAATAAGTATCAGTCATGATTTATTAAACATCTATTCTGTCATCAATATTCCTAAGCATCCTCGAGGGGTCATATATAAATGCTTTTTTTCTTTCTATAATGACAACAAATTATCCCAGAAGAGTCCACAGGACTGTTTAATGTAGCCTCCAAAAGTTATATCTGTAATTAAACTTATGGAACAAAAATTCTTGTCAACTTTTTTTTAAAATATATTTTATTGATTTTTTTTTTTTTACAGAGAGGAAGGGAGAGAGATAGAGAGCCAGAAACATCGATGAGAGAGAAACATCCATCAGCTGCCTCCTGCACACTCCCTACTGGGGATGTGCCCGCAACCAAGGTACATGCCCTTGACCGGAATCGAACCTGGGACCTTTCAGTCCGCAGGCCGACGCTCTAT